AGGATGCTGATTGGATAATGTCCTTTGCACTCTCCTATTGGTCATATGGAGGGACAAGGAGAAGTGCTGATTGGTGCACCGTGTTCTGATATGCACCAGGCTTCCATGTGTAGACTGGCATGTGCTGATGCTGGCAGAGAGCTGCAAATAGCAAAGGCAATTCTACCTTGGCTTCAAACTGCTTTGTGAGAAATGGGGAGGTGAAAACAATGGCTTGGTGGAAATCAAGCTATTATTGATTCTCATTATGTTGATCCCAGGACAAATGACAGCCTTCTCTTTGGAAGCCCATGGATTTCTGTTGTCTTACCAAGGTCAGCTTCAGAATGTAAGTAGAGCAGTTGTCACAGTAATGTCATAATAATCATCATAATTACTTTTAGTTGCCAGTAGACTTCCAGGCCCTATTCAAGGCACGAATTTTATCTTATAAAGCCCTATATGACTTGGTGCCTGTGTATTTACAGGGCCATCTCTCCTTCCCAGATTCAATTCATGCTGCAAATCCATCTCAAGAAGAGCTGCTGAGGGTCCCCCCACCCCACCATACCTTGTTCACCTTTGGTAAGACTATAAAAACTACACAGTCCCAGCAAGCTTTCAGCAGGCGTGATGGATCAGGACTCCCTTATTATTTTGATCATTGGGGTTATGATTTTTGTTATGTGTTTTTATTGGTTCTATTGTTGTTGTATTGTAAACCCACTCAGACTTTGAAAGCAGGGTCGACATAAATGTTTATAAATGATTAGTAAATTCATGGCACTATATAGATTCAAGGCTACTAAAGAACTGCTGGCTGGAAAACAGGACAGAGTCGCTTTGGGCAGCTATAGAAATGTGACAAACAAAAAATAAAACATATGCTTTCCTTTGATTAGTGATCATTACACTGACCAACACTTTTAACCTGGATGTAATAGCAATTTCTAGTACTGTACATTGTAATGGAAAGGACAAAATATTTCTTTCTGTGTCCTCTGGCACTAATCTTCTGGGGGGTGGGGTGCTTGGCAGCTAACATGGCCCCGTAGGTCACACGAGGAAAAAGGAGGCGAGAAACATTTAATGGTTTTGGCAGTAAAAACCCAGAGGCCTGTTCCCCACCTTGGGTGGAGTAATTTTTGCCCTCCTAAGCAGCAACACCCACAACAAACCTCACCCCTTTCCTTCCCCCTCCCACCCCACTCGGGGCAAGGCTAAGCCAGTTTTAAAAGTCTGCCAGTGGGCAAGAGCTCTTAATACCTTCTCTGTTCGAGGAATGTCAATACTGCTTTCCTGGACTCCGCCTATTGTATCTAGAGGAGGGCGTGTTCCATTGTCTTCCCCGCTTGCCCCAGGAAACATGATATCACGCTTGAACAAAAGCGGGAAAGCTGACAGATCTATTGAGATGGGTGTGACCTCCATACACACCTAAAGCAGGCAAGGCTGGCGGGTCAGCAGCTCTTTAGCGTGTGGGGATAAATAGGCATCTCCTGACTGGCCAGGAGGATGTTAGTCCTGCAGAATTCGTATCCAGGACAATGGCTACCGTAAGAAATAAGACAGTGGACTAACGAGGACAGGGTTTTTTTCCTTTAATAAAGTGGAATAAGACCGATGTTCAGTATAGAAAAATAATTTCTACATGTATTTATCCTTCTTTGAAAGAGATCAGAATGGTATGATGGCATGCATGTTTCCCCCCTCCTCCTTCCCCCCCCCCCTTGAAAATAAAGGAAGTTGGGAGAAAGAATAATTTGGAAAATAAAGGAAGTTGGGGGAAAGAATAATTTGTTCAGAGTCATAGAATGTTCACAGGATTTAACCCCCCCTCTCCCTAGCCCCCCTAAAATCCAGCACTGTGTTCTGTCTACAAACTCTCTCCCAGAAATTGTATTCCCTTTCTTCTGCATTTGTCTCTCTTTATAAATATAATGGAACATACAGTAAAGATTGAGTGCTATTTTCTGGTTATTGATGGCAAGCCCTCCATAAAACAGCCACAGATGACTTTATGATTAAAACTAACAAAGCAATCTAGGATCTCTATTTCTTTTTCTTGGTTGTAGATTACCAACTGGCCAGCCATTGTTTTAGCTTATAGAAATGCCAGAGCTCTTTAGATACTGGCTTTCCCTTCGCCTCTGCTAAACCATCTGCCACAATTCAAAGATGGTCAAGAAAATGATGCATGCTTAAGGCCACAGATATTCATGGAACTGAAGTAGCTAATTTTGTCTTGTACAGATACAGACACATAGATTTTAAAAAATCATAGCATTGGATAAAGATAATTCTCACTCACTGTGGGTAATCAACTGAATCATGTTTTAATTTTACCAGAAAGAGACTGTTTAGTACTTTATTTATTTGATTTATGTCCCACCTTTCTTCAGGGGCTCCTGAAAGATGAAAGATTTCCAGAGTGAACCCTAGACTCATTTATAGACCATAATGACTTAGAACACTTTTTATTCTCCATTACTAAGAATTTTTGAACCAAAACATAAAAGAAATATAGGTGCTTTTTTAAAACAGAACTGACCAATATAAATAGTACAGAAATGTTATATGCAAGATTCTGTGATACTCAGGACTAAATGCTTTCTACTTTTTCTCCATCCTCACAAACACCTTGAAAAATAGGTCTCATACTTATCAAAGTTTTTTTTTTTGCAACATTACTTTTTTAGGAAAATAAAAGCAGGCTGGCCAGAGATAAGCTACTAAATGAACACTACTTGGGTATAGGCATTAATTAAAAGCAGAAGAAAAACAACTTTTTAAAACATATGAATATCACCATTACCTTTGACTAAAATGGAAAATGTCTCTAATTTGAGTTTAGTATGTTAGCATTAATTTTAATTCTAATAAATGTTATATGGCTGCTGGTAAATATGTAAACAAAGGAAGCTAATGTTATCATTAAGCATTACGATGGAAGTACTCCCACTAATGCATATTGGACAAGACTTGGTTTCCACAGTACTAAAGTACAGATTTTGTAATCAAAAGAGATGCAGCATCAGACTATAAATAACACAACTATTTAAGAAGTTCCCAGGAACAAAACTGGGACATTCCACATATTTGTGAGACAATTACCGGGTAGAACAAATCTTATTAAAAGGAAATCTAAACATTCGGCTTGTACATTTTTCTCCAACAATCTTCTAAGTTACGTACAAACTTCCCTATTATCAAAGACATCATGGCTAACGAAGAATGTGCTTTATCATAACATATCAAGCTAAGTGAATAGAGAATTAGAGAATTAGAGAATGAGTATAGCGCAAGGGTTTTGAGATCTTCACTGTGAAGTCGCAAAGAACTGTAAGGGTCCTCCTACCTGAAAGCAGAAGGCTGAATCCACAGAAAACAAGAAGTGCTGAAAATGTCCACGCTTTTCCAAGTATATCCATCCAGTTTATACTTTAGTTCATGAAATACCAGAGGTCCTTTCAGTGGGATAAGCCTTAATCTTTGCTCTTCCTTTGCATCGCACAGCAACACTTGCTTACCAGGGAGCGACAGATTCACTGAAATACTGGGGTGGACCAGAGCAAGCTCTTAGCTGTCTCAGCAATGGGAGTTTTAAGTTCCTTTTTCCTGTTTCCTCTTGTAGATTAGGATGGGAAAAGCAGGATCTTAAAAGCATTCTTCATCAGCAGGATTTGTGAGATTGTCTGAGCTCCGTCTAATACATCTAAAAACTTTTGCTGCTTCTGTAGGGAGGGAGGGGGAATGGGTTGTAAGCTCTCCCTCCCCAGGTCATGGCCAGTGCTATCAGAAACAATAGAACATCCTCCAGGAGGGAGAATTATGAAAATAACAAACCCCTCCACCTAGACATGGTATGTGAAAATGTGCTACTCCACCTCCTCTTCCATCTCCCCATCTGCTAATTACTCCCAGAGTTCCTGTTTGGACTACACGTTTTTGAATTCTTGATTTACCTGTAAGTATGTAGCTAATCCTTGAACTTTCAGGACCCCTCATTCTACACCATCCTGCCCCAGGGGATGGAGTCACTCTGCATCCTCTTTGCTGGCCAAATTCTGTAGAGCAGGGTTCCTCAACCTTGGCGACTTGAAGATGTGTGGATTTCAACTCCCAGAGGAACCCTGCTGTAGAGGGCGAGGATCTATGGTTAGGGATGCAAGGAGTTATAGATCAGAAACAGCTAAGGGCCAGAGGTTTTCCACCTTGGTCCTACATAAAGAAAATGAAAGAAAAGATCCACACATCTGGCTAAGCCTTGGGTTTTTTAAGTACTGTACAACACAACTATTGGGTTTACAACGTCACACTAAGTCAAAACCAGTTTGCGTTATGGTATAGTACAGGGTGTGAGCCCAGTCCAGGGTTCATATACTGCACTAAACTATGTTTTAGCCACAGTTTGTTGAGCAAACCATTGTGGTTCCATCCATCTATAATACTAAATTACAAATCACCATGTGCCATGCTGAGCCAAGGCCAAATAAAACACATTATAGCTAAGCAGAATATGAAGTCAGTACTGCTTTAGAGGTCTTTGGATGATAGGAGTCCATTGCTTTTTCAAGGATGAGAGGAATAAAGAAGTGAAACTGAGATCTTCTGCATAATTTACCTGGATGTACATTTCACTGAATCCAATGGGACTTCAGAATAGATGTGCATATAATTCTGCTCTGAATGTGCATCTCAAAAGCAATTAATATGAGAAAGTCTTGTAGCAAAATGTATGTGAAAAATGCATGGGGGTTGTTTATTATTTGTGAAATTTATTGTACTATTATTTGGCTTGTTTATTCATTCCAACATAAATATCCTGGCTTTCTAAACAAAGACCATCTTGAAGAAATTTACAGCGTGTTAGAATAAAAGGAACATACAAAGCAAATGAAAATTGTACCAAACTGACAAAATTACAATTAATTAGGAAGTGCACTTGAAATTTACTATAGAGGATCAATCAAAGGCTGTAACCAAACAAAAAAACCTGCTGAAATGATTTGGTTTTTAAAAGATGTTTAAAACAAAGCTGGATCCGATGGCTGATACTCTTTGAACTTTGGAGCCCCTCCAAACTTTCCCCTAACTGTGGCTCCAAGTAATCATCCTTTACGGACATCTTGACGATGCAGCCTTTCTTCTATTCTCTCTAGAGGAGGATAGAAATAATCTTGAAGAAGAAATACAAGAGTGGTTACATAAACATTCAGCTTAGCCCTGAAAGAGAGGAGAAGATGAGAAAGAAATTCAGGATTGCCCCGCTTTGATTCTTTTTGAGACAAGAGGAGGGAGGGAAAAACTCTGTCAGGCTTTCAAGATTTTGTTGTTATACCTTGCAACAATAAAAATGAGCTCCAGGAATCCTTGTGGAGTCTGTTTCCTGACCTGGCTTACTTTGAAGGGCTGATATATCTCCATCCTATAGCTGAGGCTACCTAACCCCAACTTTTGCCCTTACTTAAATTGTCCCACATTAACCACTTGGTGGTCTTGTTACTGAAGCAGATTACAGCTCAGCTGTTGAAACAGAAAAAATGATGCTGGTACTTTTGCATTTATTCATGGATCAGAGGAAAGCAAATTTAAATTGCTGCTGGGTGAGTCCTCTGCCAGTGATGGGAATGGATTACAGAAGAAAAGAAGTTGGGCCACAGAAACAAAGTTTTAAGAAGCTAATAAGGAGGGACTGATTTCTCAATTAAGCTGGCCTCAAGCTATTTAGGTACAGTTACCCTATTATTACTCAAAGTGAGGTGATTTTCAAATAAGGGATACTAGAGAGTACTAGGGGCAGATTCCTACTCCAATAGTTCCTCCCAAATCCCACAACTGTTACTTTGTGTTAAATGAGAGGACTGTGTATGCCATTTGGTCTGTCTTGAACCTGCAAGAAAGGGCTATCATATCTTCTGCAAAAATTTAGAATCTGTGGTCCACCAGATGCTGTTAAATTACTAGACTTAGCACCCTCAACATCAGCCATGCTGTCTGGGCTGATGGGAGTCATAGTTACAGAAAGCATTAAGACAAACCCATTGCTACCTGGGCTGCCATATTTTGTACCAGCTGTAACCTCTAGATCAGTGTTTCT